CCGCATCAAAATCCGTTGCGTAGTTTTAAAGATCTAAGCATACATACGGACATACAGCGAAAGCGACTTTGTTTTATACTATGTATTGATTACATCACACACACACAAACTTTTCCTTTAACAAGAAATTATGTGTGTAAAATTGTAGTGTTTACCTTTAAAATAAATGTGTGTTCTGAAGAGAATTAATCTATACTTACGGTATTCCACACGTAAAGCAGAATATGTACTATTCCGTAAGCCAGCCATACTCCAAAGACCAGAGGTTTGTATGTGAGCTCCAGCCTAGTCACTGCCCAACCTTTTGCCAACAAAAGTAGGAGCAACATGAAAAGTGTCTGAAAAAGAATAATTTATTGCACATATTAATATTCTGCTGAGTTTTATGGCAGATAACTTACAACAGACATTTACGGTATTTAAGTTAGTGATAAGATATTCATATAAATAACGATGTCATATATAAAACGCGATAGCTATATTGAAATTCTGTTTCAATGTGGTATCTAATTAAAATTAGTAATATATGACTTTAAACTTTAGGCACATAATGAGTTGAATTAATTTTGCGCAAATTCTGATAGAGGTATGCGTCAAATTAAATACTATCATTACTACTTGTAGGTAGTAATGATAGTGGTTAATTAACCTGTAGGTTAACCATAACCTTTTCCAGCATTCATATCAAAATGAGGAAAAACAGAATTTTCCATATACATGTAAAATACACATACGTATTGGATACATCTCCAAATCGGTATTGGATGAGGAAAATCCCAAGAGATTTAACGTAACTATGTGTAATTCTTACCTAAATTAAAATAAATTTAAGCCATGCGGTGATGTTACATTTAAACATGGTGGACTGGTGGTACATCGAAATACGCAATAGAAATGCTCCATCAACACCAAATATACCCAAAACATCATCATAACATCACAGCACGCCTTTTATCCTCGAAGGGGTAGGCAGAGGTGCACATTATACCACTGTACAATGTAACACCCACTTTTCAATATTTGTGTTATGAGTCCCAAATCCCAATGAGTCCAAAAGTCTTTTTTAAAAACCCAGTAATACTTTACCCGACCCGGGGATCGAACCCGAGACCCCTTGCCCGGTAGTCGCACTTGCGACTACACGGCCAACGAGGCAGTCGTACCCAAAACCCAACCAAACAATACAAAGACTGGCATAGAAGAAATTGAATTTTTGTTATGTTTTCAGGTATATGCTACAAAAATATACAATTGACTAACTTCTATATTATTATAAATGTTTATGCTTCTAGGACAGTTAAGAGAAACTAGTAAGACATTATTATATGACTTTCTCAGTTTAGTAGTAACAAGGTCAAGAATTTTATAACAATCAGTCTACACGCAATTGATTTAGAAATACCAATTTAATTAATTTCATGATTAAACATGAGTACATACATAAACTTACGCCTTCGCCGCATAGGCTGGGTAAGCAGAAACTAAGGAGTGCCATCTACTACCATTTTTTCTAGTTTGTTAGCTCCCACCACATTTATGCATCTGGTCATTCAAGCACGCCAGTAAAAAGCTATCTAGAATCTCTCTTATGAAATATGGTTAGAGTATGTTCTCCTAGGGTGGTTCCTAGTCCTACTGGATAGCATTGATGACATGTTTCATAAAAACCTTTCATAGTCCTAATTTTGTCTACCTGCTCAAGAATCTCTTTTGAGTTTAGAAACAGAGGTTCTACTAAAAATGTTCTACTGAGAAAATCTAGTTCAGTCTCATTATCGACCTATCTCAGTTAGTAATAAGGTCAATATGAACTAACAGCTGTTGGTTATTTTATGAGCCCACAGATAAGATAAGGACATAGATGAATGAATAAACAATATTGAGTGATGTGCATCAATGTTTTTGCAACAAAATTGAAAAATGTTATTTTAAGTAAGTTTTATACAATGAGAAGTTTTGATCAACAGGATAATCGCGCTGCTCGCTGTTAATGATGATGTATAGTGAAGCTTTATTTACCTACTGGTTTTTGTAAGATTATTGGAAGTTAATGGTCATGTTAAATGCTAACCTATTATACCTACTATATTTTTTTTATTAATACTGGTTCATTGATAACCAAAATATAATAACTCACTCTGCTCATGATATCTAAGACATCTCCAGCTGCAGCCAACCCAGCGAACCCCACACCATCCACAGCAAACTTCACAGTATGCAGCACATTGAAGCATAAGGCAATGAACTCCAGAACAAGACTGAATGTGAACAACTTAGTCACAGGGTGCTTCTGAGTCCTGAAATAAAACAATCCAGTTAAAACAACATTCATAAAACAATTCCAAGCAATAATGCAATTTATATAGTAATAGCAATAACATGATTAATACATATACAGATTACATGGAGATAATTCAATGACATATCTGAAATATATGAATAGAGAAAGCAGTTATAAACATAGCTTTGGTAAACATAAAAAAATCACAAGAATATTCAAAATACTGCTTACTCAATTGACTTAAATTTTTTGGAGTGAAAATCGCTGAAAATGTATTAATTGTCTTGTAAATTATAGTGTGGAGACAAAAGAACATACAACAAATATAAATAATTGGAAAATATTGATAGAGATCTTACCTGACTGCATATATCTGGACTGGTAGTAAGATAATATAGCATAGCCAGAACACTAGATACAACTCTAAGGTGTTCTGCCTGTCAAATGAGAACTGGTACAGGAGTGTATTGTAAAATGATAAATTTGGACTTCCATTGACCAGCCAGAAATCATAGTTTATAATCTGTGGTATATTAGTTAGGGTTTTGTTGTCCGATGAGGGTGCTCCAGTGTAGTGATGCCATGTACAAGTAACTTCATCAAGGTAACATGATACCATTGATACATACCAGAACCTTAGAGAAAATAAAATAGTTAACTTCACACATTATCATATTACAATTATCATTTCGCAAAGCAAGGCTCTACTTTTATAAGATGTTAACTGTATTAGAATTTAAGATGTCAAATGATTAGCAATAGACTTATGCATTAGAAAAACTTGAATGTAAAACCAATATTTTTCATTATAGGCATGAACATAAAATTTGATAGAAAATAATAATTTGGAATCAAGTCATGGATCTTAATATTTAACAGGAAAATCATATACAAATAATATGGTTTGCTAAAATACCTTGGTTGTCCAGAGTTTTGGATAACATATGTAAACTGGTTCTTTTTTATCACATTCCAAGGTGTGTCTTCATCAACACACAATTCACCTTTGGGACATGGTATTCTTCTAAATAGATCTTGACCGTAGGCGTTACATTTGGGATGGTAAGCAGTTCCATTCAGGTTTTGAAACATAACCTGACATGCTAACTCCTTATCAACAATATCTCGGCTCTTATAATAGTGTAAAAAGTGGCCTCTGTCTAAAACAGCGAATGTTATAGGATACTTGAACGTCACATTCGCGGTAATGTTCCCAAAGATATATCCATATGTTTCCTTTTGATAATGAATATCTGTCTTCTGAAACCCAAATTTCACTAGGAACTTGAAAAACTCATTTGTCGAAAACTCTCCCTTTATGTGCGTAGAAGACACTAATACGAAAAATGTGCAAAATATTATTGTGCCAATTTTGAAACACATTTTGAGGATCGGGGATTTTGTCCACAGAAAAATAACATTTCTGTAAAAAACGTTTTCTCTGAGCCTACTCCCTTTTTTGTAATATCATTAGTCCAACGTATTAATACATTATTAGATTTTACTTCAATTTCACAATGCACAAGCTAATGAAAATAAAAAAACATTTTTGATTTTAATACAAATGCACGTAATTTACAAAGACACTTCGCATGCCAGTTTGCCAGTTGCCACCCGTCGACAGAAATGTGTGTTGCCATAATATTTTTTCTATCCTAGTTCAATTTCAACATAAGTTCCTTGACAAAGTCTAAGAAAATTGTAGTTTTTACAAGAAAGCTTTCAGGTTTTTTAGAAAAATCATATTGAAACACTCTGAGGACCTAAATTTATTTTTTATATAATTTGTATTTACTGTTGAAGTTAAAACTCCTGTTTTAGTAAGTAAGTATTTGTGTCAGCAGTCGATTAATTTCTTATTGGCGAATTGATCGATTTGTAAGTACATCTGTACATCACTTGCAAGCTGCATCTTTTTTTTAATTTAATGGCGAATAGATGGCGGACGGGTTTGGTGCTAGTGTTTGACTGAAAAAAGGAAGTGAACGAGTTTTACTCATTTATTTGTATAAAACATGAATTTAAAATATCTTTTTCCAACATGTTAATTTGATGTCCTTCAAGAAAAACTTTTACGTGAAGGTCTAGAGAAGTAATAGTGCCATAGCAACAATCATCATACTTTTGCCCATTTCCTTTGTGATCTAGATACCTCTTTTTTTGGAGTGCAATTCAAGTTTTGCCGTATTGTGACTGACAGTGTACATTTAAATTCTGTGTAAAATAGTGTTAAATTGTTGTATAAAATGTTTTGAGTAAGAATTAGTTGGTAATTTTCTTTGTAACCTCGAATGCGGAAGTTTGGTGATATAGCCGCTACGATGGTCGAATATACTCGGCAAGTGTGCTAAAGGCTATTGAGTTTGTGTTAGTTTTTGATGTTTTAAGTGAAAATCTCATGATGCATGAACTTTGAGTAATAGTGATGAAATAATGGTTGAAATAGGAGCCCCTCAAAAGTCAGCCGAAGAGAGTTTGGAGAATGCCGAATGGTATTGGGGTGATATCACTCGGTAAGTTTGCTTAATTGTATTATTATCTTCACATTAATTTTAAGCTGAACCCAAAAGTAATGTTTCCAGTATCTATTAGATTATTTAGATCTTATTTGAATCTGATAGCCTTTTTAACTCATTATACTTGTTATCCCATGTTTGATTCAATACTTGTACATAGCATTATTACCTGGGTTTGCAATTATTTTTGAAATTGATGATGTTAGAATACTGGACTGGATGATGACAGTATCATGTAGTCATTCTTGTATAGGTACCTATTTGGATTTTACATCATTTTACACAACCCTTTGACATTCTATAAGAATTAACGTAATAAAACCAATACCTAAATATGATAGTACTAATTTTACAAACCTGTATTTACAAAAGACAATATTAGGAATATGAACATAATAATATTAATACAAACTTTTTAATCATTAAATGTCCATAATTATGTGTCTACTGTCTATGGAAGTAAAATGTTAATTAGTTGAATTCTAGACTAAAAATATCTATGTAGGTATTCTACCTAGTTATATTCTTACCAGAATGCAATTAAGTAGAAATATTATCTTTAAAATAATTGGTCAATTTTAAACATAATAATTCTAATTATTAAACTTTTGAGACTTACAATAAAATAATTAGTCTGTTTAATTTTCATTGTATGTTAATGTTTATTCCAGAGATGAAGCCACAGAGAAACTCAGAGACACCTGTGATGGCACCTTCCTGGTGCGCAACGCATCTAACAAAGATAGTGGTTATACTCTGACAGTGAGGAAAGGGGGCATGAACAAACTTATCAAAATCTATAATCATGAGGGGCGCTATGGATTTTGTGAACCATTTGATTTCAAATCTGTGGTTGAGCTTGTTCGCTTCTATAGAGAGTTCTCACTGGCACATTGCAATAGTAGTCTTGACATCAAGCTTATGTACCCATTGTCTAGACTCGTTGAAAATGAAGGTGAAGAAAATATGAGTGATGACACCCTCGAAACTAAGTTTAAGGAAATTCACAAAAGATATGTATTAAAAACAAAAGACTTTGAGGGTCGCTCTTACAAATATACAATATTAAGGGAAGAAGTAAATAGAAAGAAGCAAGCACTAGACGCCTTTAAAGAAACAGTTCGAATTTGTGAAGAACATTTAAAGTTACAAGAAAAGATGCAAGCTGAAGCACAACCACATGAAAAAAATACTGTATTAGAAAATAATAGGAATTTAATATCTAGAGTCCATAGCTTAAGGAAAGCTAAAACAGAATTGAATGAAATTTTGAAAGATACAGTTACAGCTCAATTACTTCTTGAGAGAGAAATTGCCAAACTGAAGTCTGATGTTACAGATCTTTACAAAAGGAAAGATAGATATAAAGTGTAAGTAATGTTGTGTTTGTTAATTAACAGGAATTTTTATCAAATCCAACACTATTTTTACATCCAATGTCTAACTAGAATAGTCACAAACATAAAAGGAAATATTAACTTTGTATAACAATGACATTGCTGTAGCAGGTAAATAAGTTATTTTGAGATTGAAAAAGGATAATATATACATACTTATTTTAATAAATATGACCATAATAAAAACAAATGGACTTGATAAGTATATGGAAGAACATCTCTTGATAAGGTTACCTAGATTACCCTTAGTCACACTTCAGTTCCATTAAACATTTTGACTTGCAACCCAGCAAGTGGCCATTATCCTGCCATCTAGCTCATGTGATTAAACTATCAAATTGCTACAAATTATGTTACAGTTTATGTGACCTATTTAATCCTATGTTTACAGATGGCTACAAGGAAGAGGAAAAACAGATGAATACTTGCATTTATTAGAGGATGACAATATACACAAACTTGAAGAACTTTATGCTCATAGAGAAATGAGTAGTTGGAAAGTTAATTGTACTAGAGAAGAAGCAGAAAAACTACTTATGGGCAAACCTCAAGGCACATTCTTAATTCGGCCTAATTCCACTGGTCAATTAGCTTTATCTATTTGTTGTAACAACATGGTCTACCACTGTATTATCTTTAAGACTGAAAGAGGTTATGGATTTGCAGAACCTTATAATGTATATGAGTAAGTATGCTGTAATAATATTTTTATAGTAATTTTATTCTAGGTAAATCATACATTCAAACAGCTGCTGAGAATAGCTTAAACATGTATGGCATTGAGATTATTCATTAGTGAAATATTGATAAAACTGTGCATTACTATAATTATTATCTTGACTGTGTGTTAGTTCATTACACTTTTATGAGTACTACAACTGCAACTAATAGATTTTTGTAGAGCATAATATATATTAACCTGTATATTAAACTGTCAAACACCAAGCGGTCACCGGTGACCGCAACCTATTGTTCTATAATTGTGTCTGCAAAACCGGTACTCGACGAGTTAATGATTTTTTAATCTGTTTTAGAACATTAAATGAGCTTGTCCTCCATTATGCTGTGAACTCTTTAGAAGAACACAATGAACAATTGAAAACAGAACTGAAATACCCGGTAAATGCACATGCTGTGAAGAAACCTGAAAAGAAGCAGTAAAGTGGCAATGCTGAAAACATTGTGGTAACCAGTTTGTCTACTTGTAGACATCGATCGTAATAACGACGTTTGACACCTATTACTTATGGAATCAGAAGTCGAAATTATCTTCCTGTGACCTTGAAGTAATCAATGATAAATTATAAATATTAAACAGCATCGAAAACTTATCACCTAAAGATGATTACGATGTCAATATCAACAGTATGAAAATTGCAGATTGCAAATATCTGTCTATTTCTTGATTGTTTCTACAAATGTTTCGTGAGGGAACATAACAATACGACAAGAAAGTATTCATGTACAGGAATGTAATGTAAGTTGATATTTCTGTGTTTTATAGCTTTATAGTGTCGTTATAATATGATCAAATATTATTGTACAAATAAAATGCTTTGGTACCCATGTACATGGTACATACCATATTATTTTAGACTTGTGCACAATTATCCTTATAACATGATTTGAAAAGTTCTTTACTTATCATTGATTTGGTTTTATTTTTATTGTGATAATATTGTGATAAAACCATGATCAGTTTAGAAATCCCAGTTATTTTAATGAACATTGAAAATGATTCTCAGGAGCTTTTAAGAGTTTTGAGTTATACTCTGTACACATATTTTTATATTTGTTATTTTACAAAGATTAGAAAAGTGTTCTTCCCTTATTAAAATTGATGTTGTTAAATTGATTGGGGCCTTTATGGATCAGCAGCAATCGAGGAAGGATTTTAATTACAGCTAATTCGAAATTGGAGACTGTTGAGAACAAATTACTTTGAAGTCTTATGTAAGCTCTCAATTCAAATTGATATTGAGTCTGCATCCATTTGAAACCTAGCTTAACCGAAAAAGTATATAGATTAAAACTGCAGTGGTATACAATTTATTGGCCTAAAGTTTGTTTTTTCAAATTCATATCTTAATTATACCAGATGCAGACTTAATACATGGAAGTTCTCATAGAGATGTATATTATGTATGTGATAGTAATGTATAGTATTTTAGAGTTTTCGTATTTGTGTATATTATGTGATTAATTTTTGTTACATTGTTTTTAATGGGTTATTGTGAGGTATAAGAGTCAAAATATTCTAAACAAATCATTGAAATATATGAATGCATTTATTTCAGTGATTTAAAGAATTCCATTTCAAAGAGTGGGGTTCTTGTGCAGTAATTAATTTCTTGTTATTTTAATCTGCAAAGTATATTGTCTTGTTTGCCTTTACAACAAGAATTGTATTTGTGATGTGGGTTTGTTATTGTAATGTAATTATTTTCTAAATCACAGTAAAGTATTAATTGGCAGATGTTAATATGCTAGGTACCTGTTTCTATAATGGAGTGGAATCCCAATACTGCTTGTCCTATGATAATGTTTACAAAAATACCTAATTAAACATCATTGCATTGAACTGTCATAAGATGATTATTTTCTTTAATTAAAAACTAATATTCATTTAGATCTGATACCAGTCTATAAATATTATTGTCTAAGTACCACTAAATGCATTTTGTAGATACAGGTACCTAAGTTTATTAAGTGTGTATGAGAGTTAAATTATATTTACTTGTTGCAAATCAAAACATCATGTGAAATTAAATAATAAATATGTACATTATATATGTATCTGTTGATTTGAGGTCTGTAAACAACATGAGAAATATGATTTGCCACAGTGGATGTCTTTTATGATTTCAGTGCGTTTAAGTACTGATTTATTACTTGGAAATGTGTTAATTCCTGTATATTAGTGTGCGAGTCTCGTCAATTAATGATTTCTGTTTATTTTCTTTATGTAAAAAGAGATGATATATGTAATTGCTAGTACATAGATCTTAAGTAGGACTAACCAATTCGTAAAAGTTATATTTATATTATGTAAAAAGTTCCCACAAAACTTTGTAATTCATCTGAAATTAATGAGGCAAAGATAATATTTTAAAATCCTTCTAATTGCCAAATGGCTTGGGCATTCAAATGAAATACTGATATAATTGGATGTGGAATATATGATGTAACATATTATTGATGTTCTCTCAGCCTACTAATTGTTTGAAATTTTGATCAACCTACTTATCATTGGCATGTATGTAATTATGTAAATAGCACATACAATGGTTTTAAAAATCCACCTCAGCACGTCCAAAATATTTACGACTGTGATAGTCATATTTATTCCGAAATCTATCTACCTATTACAAATACCTAACTTGTGGTTTGGAATCCACAAAATTCCATATATTATTGTCTATGCCGAATACGAGTCTTTGGAGCAGTGCTGTGAAGTACAATGAAAATGATCTATTCACAGTTTACTAACAACGATCTTGAAAAAATATATATAGGTATTTATGAATTTTCTCAACAGTGGCCATAAAGACCGTCGGTTAAATTGACAACTCCATCGAAGTAATACCATAACTTATTTTAATACCTCGTAACGTTTTCATCTGAACTTGGTTCTGTTCACCAATTTGAAGTAGGTATTCCTTTAAAAAAGTTAATGAAAGGTCATGGAACATAATAACATTGTTCGATATTTTAACACCAGTTTTCAATAATAATAAAGAACACTTCGTTATCAAGATTTCTTATTGGAATGCAATATTATACACAAATAAAAGTCACACTGATAACAGCATACGACCCAGATTCGTCCCTAAAATCGTGTATCGAAACTGTTTTTACAAAAATATAATATAATTTAGATTATACATAATATATACTTACCTATTTACTTATAAGTTTAAAGATTATATAAGTGAGATTATTGATCGCGTTATTTTTGTATTCAAGTCAATAATACAATTATCATTATAATGCAAAATATTCTGATTTGCAATTTTATAAAACTAAATATCATTATATTATGATCTCAAGAGTGAATTATCACATAAGGTAATTCAGATGTTTGTTTGATAGTTTTCTATGAACCATAATATTAATTCAAGTCAATAGCAACCAAATTGGAAAACTTGCATAAATTAGTTAACATTGAAGGCGCCATTTTATAAGTGTAATAGTAGAACGTTTTAATAAGTGTTAATAAACAAACTATCAATGACGTCTGCTTTTATTTTATTTACATTCCCTATCTCAGGTTTTTGGATTGAAATAAAATTATAGGTAGGTATTCTATTTTGAATACATATACCTATACAATACCCAAACATTTAAAAGATTATTATTTTATTTAATTCAGACAGGCAGTTGAAACAACTGATAAATGCCTGTATCGTATTGTTCTATCAGTGGTTAATTCGATGTTGTGTATCTGTCAAGTCTGTTTTTGAACTGGTTAACATTCTGTGCAGCGATTACATATTCTGGCAGCCTGTTCCATGCTCCGACCACGCGATTACTCAGAAAGTGTCTGTGAGGAATATTTTTCGATAAGCTTTTACACAGCTTAAGGTGGTGGCCTCTAAGATGAACGTTTTCATTACGTGAGAACAGTTGCTCGAAATCAGTATTGTCATAATGTCCACTCAAGATCTTGTATGTCTCAATTAGGTCCCCACGCTGCCTGCGATCCTTCAAAGTGGTTAAGTTCAAAACCTTCAAGCGCTCTTCATATGGATGCTGTTTCAGTGCTCGTGGTATTTTGGTAAAACTACGCTGTACTTTTTCCAAGTGTTCGATATCCTTTACGAAGTAGGGGCTCCAGACCTGAAATGCATATTCTAGGATGGGCCTGACGAAAGTTTTGTGGATCTTAAGCATCATCTCCGGAGTCAAGACACCGAACGCTTTCCTGATGAGGTATACAAGACTCTTGGCTTTTTTGGTGATCGAAGTTATGTGCTCTTCCCACTTTAGATCCTCGGTAATCTTTACCCCTAAGTCTGTTTGCACCTTGACCCCTGTCAGTTCAGCGTTACACAGTTTATATGTCAGACGAGGATTACTGGTACCTATATGCAGTACCGTACATTTAGAAGCGTTGAGGTTGATGAGCCACTCCTTGGACCAGTTTGCTATTCTGTTTAAGTCCTCTTGAAGATGGTTATAGTCAACTGTCGGATCCGCAAATATTTTAGTATCATCAGCAAATATGCTGACTTCACATCTCAGGCAACTGGGAAGGTCAAATGTGTATATTATATACAACACTGGGCCCAATACAGACCCTTGGGGCACTCCGCTATGCACTTCTCGATGTTCTGATAATGTCTCACCGATTCTTACTCGTAAAGTTCTTTGCCGCAAAAAGGATTCGATCCAGCTCAGTAGTTTTCCGCGTATTCCCACGAATTCCAATTTCTGCAGCAGCCTACCTGTGGGAACTTTATCAAAGGCTTTTTCATAGTCTAAGTAGATTACGTCTATAGGTTTTTTTTCATTGAACTTCTTTGTCCATGATGACAGGCTCGACAGCAAGTTAGAAACTGTAGAACGATGCGGGCAAAAACCATGCTGCTGTTGTGGAATGACTTGATGGTTGGTGAAAAATTTCCTGATGTGCTTAACTATAATTTTTTCCATAGCCTTGCAAACCACGCTAGTTAAACTTATTGGTCTATAGTTTGAAGGTTCCAGTTTACTCCCTTTTTTGAATATGGGGGTGACTATAGCCGATTTCCATAGATCTGGCAACATTCCAGTATCATAAGACGTTTGCATTATCATTGCCAGCTGCTCCGAAAGGTCACACTTTTTGAGTAATACTACAGGTATATTATCTGGTCCCGGTGAAGAATCGGTTTTCATTTCTTTGATTACTTGTTGGATTTTACTTGGAGTGAATTTTATTGCTTCAATGGATTCCTCAACTCTTAGTAACGGGTTCAATGTAGGTACTTGATTTAGTGGCTCTATTTGAAAGACACTTGCAAATTGTTCCCCAAATACGTCAGCTATTTCTTGAGGCTCGATTACAGTTCGACCTTGCTTGTTTAGTAGAACATTTGGTATGCCAACCCTTGATGTTACCTGTTGCCTGATGTAGGAGTAGAATTTTTTTGGCCCAGCCTGGAGTAAATTTGTTTCGTATGTTATACGTGCTGTTCGAGTTTGGTTCATCAATTTATTATTTAATTTTCTGTAATCTTTATAGTGTTTATCAAGTCCAGTTAGTATGTATCTATTCCACAATTTCAGTTTGTCATTTATACATTTCTTGGAGTTGTTTGAGATCCATGGTTTATTAATGCTTTGCTGGTTGAGTTTCGTCCGGGGTACATACAAGTTGATTGCTTCCCTGATTGTTTTAAGGAGGATCTCAAACTGGTTCTGTACACATATTGTGCCTCTCATGCTTCCAAACAATTCAGTCTGTAACATTTCATTGATTTTTTCAAAATTAGCTTTTTTGAAATTTGGCCTGCCATTGGTTTCTTTCTTTTGTGCCTGTGTTTGTATTTGTATATTTGCTAGGAGGCAGGTATGATCGCTTTTACCTATCGGTGCCAGGTGATCGATTTTAGCTATGAGTGATTCGTCATTTGTTAAAACAAGATCCAGAAACGATGGTTGGTTTCCTTGTCTATATCTAGTGTGTTTGTCTATTATCTGCTGAAGGTTGCTATCGTTGTACCATTGTATGAAGTTGTTTTCCCGAGGTGAGACATATCCAGTATCCCGTAGTGGCCACTTCACACCGCCGAAGTTGAAATCACCCATTATGGCCACTGTGTTTGTCTCAGAAACTTGGTCAAGTTGCTCCAATAGGCTATTGTCCTGGTCCAGTGTGGAGTTGTGTCCTCTATATAAACCACCCAGTAGGAATTTGGTATTTCCAATTTTGATTTCAAGCCACAAACATTCAGAAGCCTCGTGTTTTTTATTGTAGTTAGTATTTAATTTTGAAGTCATAAAATTGGTTGTATTGGAGGCATATATTGCAACACCACCGCTGCGCCGGAGAGTCCGATCGACCCTGTACAAATCATATCCAGGTATTTTTACGATCGAGTCTGCTATGTTAGGTTTGAGCCATGTTTCAGTAAGTATTATCAAAGTTGGTTTCAAAGTATTGACCCTAGCGATTAACAAGTCCAGTTTAGAAGTAATTGATTGAATATTCGTATAAAGTATAGTAATTGTGATAAGGGTAGATATTTGCGGAGCATTAGAGAGTACGTTCACCTTTTTAGTTATTAGTTTTTTACAGATTTGGTTTTAATAATCGTTGGGTATCCACGAATGTATTTTATAGTGATATCTGCCTCCCCTTCGTTGATGCGTTTCTGTAGTTCTTCGCGCAAGTTCTTTAAGTACTCTCTTTGCATGGGTGTTAGGTCTGATGTAATAGATGTGGATTCTCTCAGCTTATTCCTGTTGCGAAGAACCTCCATTGCGTCCCTCTTGCTGTGTAAGACAACCTTCAGCGGACGTGGTCTTGCGTTCCCGCCAGGCTTGCGTGCGCCGAGGCGAAACATCTTTATCCCGTTACACTTTACGTTATTGGTGACAGTTTCTATAATAGTTTCGCACTCTTTTTGGTCATGTTCTTTCCTCCGACTAGCCACTTCACTGGTTGATTCCGGCACATCATAGATAATTATGTTGTTAGATCTGTTTGCCCTTTCCGTCATCTCCTGAATAGCAGACTCGGTTACAAGCATGCTCTGCCGCAAACGTAGTTGTTGTACTTCCTCGGTAAGTTCATTTAGCTTGTTCAGGATCATAGGCAATTTGCACATTACAGACCGGCAGTCACTACAAAGAAAAGTCATGACACGAGCAACTGTTTTCAGCTCAAGAACGCGAACTTCAGTTGGTGATAGACCATGACAGTCTCCGCACAACACAACCTTGCAAGAGTCACAAGCGACAGATGCTTTTTTTTCATTAGGTGTTTTATTGCACTTTGCGCATTTTTCTTGAGAGTTAGGGATTTTTTTGGAACTCATTTTAGTAGTTAGTATTGTTTTTTTTTTTTTGATGGTTTTCTAGGTCAAAAGTCAAGCAAAAATTGGACTGATATTGGGCACTATTTCAAGCACAATTTTTTGAGACGTAAATTGTACCTATAGCTCGTTCGATATTCGCGCACTGAGGTGAGTATGCTGGGCGTAGAACCTACGCCCAGCATACTCACTGAACGAAGCCTATAACTCCGAAGTTATTCGAGCACTGTTTTTTCTTTTTGGGCACCGTTTGGCACTATTTGGGAACTATTTTTTGAAGTATGAATTATGTTTGAAGCGTATACAGATTCTCCGGACGGAGGTGAGTATGCTGGGCGAAACCTTCGTCCAGCATACTCATCGAACTATGGCTATAACTTCGCAAGTACAAGAGCACTATTTTTTTCCTTTGGGCACTATTTAGCACTATTTCAGAACAGTTTTTTGACATTCATGAAATATCAGGATTCCATGGTGAGTATGCTGGACGAAGGGACACATCTATTCATGTATTTGGTTCCGTGCTGAAACTAATTTTTGAAAGACTATTTTGCCTGGGTAACGTTTCAAACGTTACTCCAGCAAAATTTGTTTTTCTTAAATAACTTAAAAACTACAATTCAAACAAATTTTGCTATTAGTAAACAAATTGCTCCTCATGATACACTAATTATTTGTTTAAGTCTCATCTCTCTAAAGCAAAACATTTTGCCTGGGTAACGCACACCTCTTGAAGATGGTTATAGTCAACTGTCGGATCCGCAAATATTTTAGTATCATCAGCAAATATGCTGACTTCACATCTCAGGCAACTGGGAAGGTCAAATGTGTATATTATATACAACACTGGGCCCAATACAGACCCTTGGGGCACTCCAATTATTTTTGTGTTGGATAGCGCATTTAGCGAGGATGGCTATAGGCTATAAAACATCACGCTACGACCAATAGGAGCTGAGCTGAGAGTGTGAAACCGCGCGGAAGTAGCTAGTATTACATAAAATACAAGTCCATTTCACACAAGAAGGGCATGGTAATGTTAGTCCTGAAATAATTATGTAGGTGTAGTAAGAAAGTAAAACAAAACAATATTCTTAAAACTTTATTGATCTCAAAATCAATCGTTCTTCAACTTATAAAATCAAAACAATACACATACACAGGAATGATAAAATTCTTGAGGGTCGGTTCATAACTGACGGTATTATGTGCCGAACAAAGGTATCAAATACCACTGGAATCTAGCGACTTCGATCAACGCATTATTGCATCATCGGCATCTGATAGTGGTAAATGCTGTTGTTAATTATTGCGTTACGCGACACATTATGCAATAAATATGTACCGACCCTAACACTGTCAAAGGTTGCTTGTAAGTTGTGTACATTAAAAATAACGTATATTACAATGTAATATTTTTAGTTAGATTTTTTCGAGTCTTTGGATGGAGAACGAGATCTTGACCGCGACATAGACCGTGCCTTAGAGCGGGAGCGAGAGCGGCTGCGACTACGGGAACGGGATCCAGAGCGTGGCGAACGGGAACGCGTGCGACGACGGGACCTTGACCGACTGAAAATTTACACAATGTTGTTTTAGTACAGTTCTACTTATAGTTTCAGTTTCACCTAATTTCGGATTTAAGAAAAAATTTAAAAAAAATTTCATGCTGCTACTGCTGCAAAATCAAGTCACGCATTTAATTTTTATTCATATACCTATATTATTTGCTTATGGTCAAATGATATTACTATTCTACAACAAAATAAAAATTATTGTAAGTTCAAAGTTTGTGATATTCTTGTAGATATTATTTGTCCTGGTACTGTTCGGCTGTTGAGTTCTGTAAATCTGAGAAATATAATTTAAAAAATAACATAATAATATTATAATTTTATATTTGATGATGACTTCCCCTTACGTTTCTGGTCTTCATTTCAGCTCTATCTGTACTAAACATACTACCTTCCTACTAAAAATAAGCAGCACAGGCTTTCTTTGAACACAAATATGGGATAGTAATGTGTAACTCACTGAGTGCACGCAGTGATTACATTAGACGTGCGGTGCGACGCGCAGAACGAACTTTACTCTCAATGACGATCTCAAGTGAAGTGTGCACGTAGGCTGTAGCTACGTAGTTCGCAGAGCGAGCGGTGTTACCGAAGCAATCAACTCAATTGGAGTACACGCCGCGGGGAGAAAGCTACGTAGCGCAGACAATAAGAAGTGCAGACACTGACGAGTTCGTTCTCGGCGCACAGGCCAATGATAACCTATAACATAGTTATCATTGGTATAAGTGAGTTCAGTACAATGGGATGGAATCTTTGCATAATCGATTTTTCGTTTTCAAAACAAACTTCTACAGAAATAACATTAGCTTAACCTATGTTTTGAGTTTTTAGAATCAGATTTCATTACCAGAAAGATTCCATTCCAAAGGCAGGATTTCCGTAACACATAACGACCAGAAAAATGATTAGATATGTCACCTGCGACGACGACGGCGTGTGCAGTCTCGAGCATAATGTCCTCTATCTCCACAGTCATAACAGCGGTCATCATACGGTCTAGGAGGTAGTCGAGAGCGTGGTGGTGGCCCCCGTCCTCCATAACCTCGTCCGCCGTTAGACATCTCTACTCGAGCACGTCGACCACAAATTGTGCGTCCGTCCAGACCACGTATCTATAATTTATACAGTTACAAGTAAATAAACATTTATCTACTTATTATTATAAATAAAATAATAATATGACAATCTGTAAAAATTGAGATGTTAGCTTACCGCATCTTCAGCGTCACGAGGGTCTTCGAATTCTACAAAAGCGAAGCCGGGCGGGTTTCTTGCTACCCAGACATTTCTCAGAGGTCCATAATATGAAAATGCGTCTTCAAGTTCAGGTTTGCTTGCATTGTTACCTAAATCTCCGACATACACTTTACAGTCACCGTAACGTGACATTTTTCCTATAAAATAGAACAAATTAGGTATCAAAAACAAGTTTAGCGGTGAACAGTTTGCAAAAAGCGTAGGTTTCCTTCCTGTAGCAACGCAACTTTATAGACTCCATTTATAGTAAAATAGTTATTTCATATCATTTCAAAAACAAACTCATAGTAAATAAAACTACCTTTTTCCAAATTACACCAACTCAATCACTACAAACTGAACAAATTATTAATATACGAACAAAATGGCGACTGGTGACCACTCCACCAGACGCTACCGGAAGAAGAAAAAGAAATAATTTGGACTTTTTTTTGACAACGAAGATAGCTCTAGTATTTCGTCCATAGACAATAATCGCGTCAACGATTTGTATTCGACCAGACGGTCGTATATGTACATCTATGGTCGTACGATTGTATCGTTGGAGGTACCAATTTACTTACTATTTTTAAAATAATCGAATAGAAATAAAATAAAAGAGACAATATTTTAACTATACTAAATTTTTAGTTTTAAAAATATGTTTTGTTAAAATCTATATCGAAATCGAATAATAACTGAAATTGGAGTGATATTCCTTATTTATAATTCACTTCACTAAATAAATATAAAAATAGATGCTGAAAAAAAGGATAACAGAAGAATAGATGATAAAAAAACTATAATTTATTATAAAACATTTGAATCACGAAATGATACCATATGAAAAAATTGGATTACCATTTTCATCCTCAAAGGTGCAAGCTCAAAAGAGTATTATCTCAAAACCGTGAACCTCAAAATGTAACGGGGTAATGCAAGCTTGCTGCATACTACATACCTCCAGTTTTAACTATAGGTACAGTTATAGTACATTAAAATATGAACAGACAAATCCGTCTGTACATAGAACTGAATAGTAAAAACTGCGTAGTTAGTTTGACTACTTTTGATTCACTACTCTTATGTACTCTATATAAATGATATTATGTTAATATTGTGAAATGAAATGTGTCGGCAGCTGGTTCCCCAATACCGGACCAATCGTGTACCTAGTCAAATCTCGGAACAATATGCTTTAGTTATTGTTCCGAGAGTCAAATAATTATAAATCTGTGGACTACCGAAATATTTCTATTAATTATTTTCTATAATCTATCTATGACTCTTTGGTGGACTGAAACTTCAAAATGTATAAAATTAAAAACTGGCAACATGTCATTTAAATAGTGTAAAACGGTATGTCCTTTTTAAAATATTATCACATATTATAAAAAGAAAACTACTGCCGAATTACTAAATATATCAATAAAACTTCAAAACTGTTTTGATTTTATTAATACTTATAAAACATTTTTGTTTTGCCATATGTGTATTTTTTATTTTCCTTCATGGCAATATTAAAAAAAAAGTAAAAGCAATGTAGCGGACGGACGTCGTTGCGACTTTTCTTTCCGTCATGCAATAATTTTTGTCATTCATGAATTCGTCGATAAAAAATATTTTAGATGGTGTCACATACGTGAACATTAGTTGAAATATAGTTTTAATAATGTGTTAGTATTTCGTGTCGCATAGTTCATCTACGTAGTTCTTTAAGATAGGTGTGTGACAAGTAAAGTTCGGTAATGGTAATGGTGGCCATGTCATGAAAATCCCCACAGCCATGGATGATAGCTCCGTATCTCATCACAACGGAGGGCAAGTTGGATCTCAAATCGGAGTCAGTGTAAATAACAAACAAAATGACGAACCTAGCCAAAGTGTCCAGTATTCAATACCGGGCATTTTGCACTTCATCCAACACGAATGGGCGAGATTCGAGCTCGAGAGATCACAATGGGAGGTGGACAGAGCAGAATTTGAGGTGATTTTTTTTATTTTCTTCGTGTTTGTTGTAAATAATGTAAAGTTCATTGACACATAGTTATTTAAGAACTGCTAATTCAATATCAAATTCGTATGTCGTTTATACCACGTATTTTAATTTCACATTTGTAATTTTGTTCTTTTTAGTGAGACACCAAAACAAAATTGAGTATGACTGATTGCATTTCATATTTAGTTATTTGGCTATTGTTACAATTGCATTAAATAAATATTGTAAATGGAGACCTCATTTATTTTTTGTAGTTCTTTATTGTCATGGACCAGAGTTAGTCAATGACTAATTAACTGTATTCACTTCTGTCATTTTGGTGAACCTGATTTGTATAGATCAAAACATGTCCCTTATAATAATAATATGTAACTCTTTGTAGAAAATATGAAATAATTTTTCTTTATAAATTAGCTATAGCTATAATCAAATTATATTGCATTATATAATGTAATTTGATTACAAAATTAAATTATTTATCCCTATAATTTATAAAATTATAGGTACATTATGTCAGTATATTAAGTTCTATGTTTGGACAATTTGTACTGCCCACCAGATTTCTACAATTTACAAGATTTCAGTTAAAATTATTTCTTTAACATTAGCTTTGTATAGTATGCTAGAAATCATAATTATTGCTAGTCTTGGTAATATAAAAATTAAAATTACTGTAATACAAATGTAATTTGTGAAACAGCTGATTTTAATATTAAAATTTTAAATCAGCTGTATTGAATATGTAAGTCTTTGTTATTTTATCTCACAGATTTTGGACTAATCATTGTCATATCACACATGTTTTCTATGTTAGCCTAAATTACTAAAGAAAAAAGTAAAAGTATACTTAATTAATTGTTTTATTTGTATTTAGAAATATGCTTACAACTGACTTTAAGTAAGATAAGACCAATAAAATAAATCAGAGTACTTAGAAAAAAGACACAAGTCTATTTCTCTGCCTAATACATTTTTTATGTCAAAATATATGCATGATAACAATTTTTTCTTTATATTTTGTAAACAATTATCGTAGCATTGATATTTTCTATAATTTATTGGTATAAGTTTAGTTACAATCAAAGTGAGTAAAGATAGTAAACTATTCTTATTAAATATCAGATTTTATTTACAAATCTTTTATTCCACATGTACATAATATGTTTTGTTATATTGACTTTGTTCATATTACTTTATATTTGGTTTACATAAAACTGTTTTGATTTTTGCTATTTTGTGTAAGCATCTTTCATTGTTATTTTTCCATATTAGGTAAAGAGGATTTCAGTAGGAAGTACCACATGAGTTGGCACATGTCATATGAATATCTATTTCTAGATAATGTGTTCTAAAAATATAATACTTAAGTTCTTTATTTTGTGCTCATCATCTAAGAATGTTTTATGTGTCCAAAGATTCTATTACAGTTAATGTCTATTGATTAAAGGAGCATGTGTTGTTAATACACCATGTATACAAACAATATGTTGGGATCTTTGTTTAACAAAGTTAAACCCTGTTTTTAAGTAAATTACTTTATTATTGGTTTGAATAGATAATTCTATACAACTTCGTACATGTTACACTTTGTAATGAAATAAATTGTGGGCACAGGCGCGGATTGCCTTCCTCCAAGGTGAGAGGAAGGGCCAAGAAAATCTTAAAAATGACCTGGTGAGGCGGATTAAGATGCTGGAATATGCACTGAAGCAGGAGAGGGCGAAGTTTCATAAGCTCAAATATGGGGTGGAGTTACAGCAGGGGGATGTGCGTCCTCCTCCAGAGGAGCCCCCTGCAGAACCAGAGCCCGCTGAGAGAGCACAGTGGAAGCAAGGTCGTCAACTTATTAAACAGTACCTGCAGGTATGTTTTCATTTTTTATTTATCATGACATGTTTTTTATCTACCTAATCCAATGAGGTTTGACAAGATGAATTTATTCTTACATGTATAAAGCGTCATTGGCATTACATTTTGTTTCTATTCCTAGCTTCTACCTCAAGTTTTGCTTTGTTTAGATAGACCTCAAGAATTTTATGAAAATTTTCGTAAATATTAGTGAAACTGAGACAAGCAATGAGTACCATTGTAGAAATGATTTAAAACTAAAAAAGGGGAAAGAAATGTTGAAATATAATTATAAGAAATATAATTTTAGATTAGGTGGTTTTTACCAGCAGATAATCATGAAGATAATGTGATTTAAATGATGTCTGGTATTGCTATTTGTTTTATCATATTTTATTATTCATAGGTTTGGAAACATCATCCATTACATTACAATATGACAATACATGCTAGGAACTTTGTGAACAAAGAAAGTTGTATTAAATCTGTCTAAATATTAATTCGTGATTATGTCTGTGTTATTGGTCCTGCAAGATATCCAAAGGAAATATAATCATGCTTAATGTCAAACTGAATAGTTTAAAATTACATTACTGTTCCATGAAATTATCATTAAGTTGAAAATGATTTATTTATTGGTACTTATTCCTTTTCTACAGGAAATAGGTTACACAGACACCATACTGGATGTTCGCTCAAACAGAGTTCGGGCTCTGCTTGGTCTGAACAATGAAGAAGTAGAAAACCCAAACTACAGAAATTATGACAAACAGCAGCACGACAGATGTGATTACTCTATGAACCACATGGTTCGCAAATATGATTATGGTATGTATTAGTGTGAAAGGACATTTCATTCATTTGTACTCAAACAGTTGTTAAAACACAAGGAGGAACAGCTATTCATATTGAAATCAGATTATTTTCATTAATAAGATTGCAGACCTCTTGAATTATTGATAGTAATTTTTGTAATAATATTTAGTATGTAAGAAGGTAATTTATTTTAAGATATTTTCTATGTTCTTGTTTTTAATACTGATACAGGAAAAGAGCCCCGTAAGAGTGGCGTTTCTGCCGGTGGCGGATACAATGAGGAGGGTCTCTCTGTGCAAGAGACAGCTGCCGTGTTCGCTAACTTCGAGTTCCTGACCAACCAGGAGATGGATATGGATGAAATAGATGATTTGGATGCCAAACAGTCGCACCATCCTCCTGGGAAACAAGGTACTAAGAAACATAGGCATTATCTCAAGTAATCTACAGCCTTGGCCAAAAGTATTAGGCACCCCCAATAAAGGTCCCATGCACACGTGCTATTTAAACAATTAGTTGATATTCTTTTGAAAGATGATCTCGGTGTCATAAACCGCTATTTAAGATATTGGGCGGCAATATTTGAGTGGTTGTATAACATCTGGTGCATCAATAACGAAATATTATTTTTTTACAAAACTTACGTTTAATGTCTGATCAGTCTGTATTTCGAAGTCTTCGCTTAAAGACAGAATATTTGCAGTTTTTTGATTAAATAGAGAACAAATTTATTTAGAAATGCTAAAGAGAAACGAAATTAGTCTTAAAATCGTGTGTAAGTCAAAC